CTTTGACTCTAACATGCAATTCAAAACTATTTAAAAAGCTGCTTCCATCCAAAACTCAAGCAGAGTTTCGAGAGCATGCCACCACTGAAAATTGTTGATTTTCTGGTAAATTCTTAGGCAAAGGAACCTACACATCATGGAAATGGCTAGAAATCTATAATTTTGGATGATTTCAAGCACTGGGTGGAAAGTAGTTGTCTTTTTCTTAGATGTATTTCATTACAACATCATCTGTCATACAGAAATAAACATAGGGGTGCACTTAGGATTTAAATGAATTCTAAATTTAGAGTGTCAAAACAAGTGGGGTTGGAATGTGTAAGTTAAAAGAGATGCAATCAGAACTGTCAAGCTGAAATGTGAGTGCAATCTTGTGATACACCCCCAGACATCCACTGATCAAGAAGTATATGGAGTGTAGAGGTAGCTGATAGGGCCATCATACTATATTTCTTTAAAGAATTCTGGTTTTAATCATCCAAGGCAACCTGGAAATCACTTAGGGCCAGAGGAAGCTTCCTTTTACAAAGACATATCAGTAGTCCATCTAGGTCAACATTGTCTATAGCTGTGATTCCCAGCCTTGGGTCCTCTAGTTATTTAGAACTTCAGTTCCCAGAAGTTCTAGCTATTTTGGCCAAAGTTTAGGAAACACTGGTCTACATGCTGTACCCTATTGCTCCTTAGATTTATTGTCGAAGGCTTTCATGGCTGGAATCACTAGGTTCTTGTAGGTTTTTTCAGGCTATAGGGCCATGTTCTAGAGGCATTTCTCCTGACGTTTCGCCTGCATCTATGGCAAGCATCCTCTGAGGATGCTTGCCATAGATGCAGGCGAAACGTCAGGAGAAATGCCTCTAGAACATGGCCCTATAGCCCGAAAAAACCTACAAGAACCTAGCTCCTTAGATTGTTTTTAAGATTGACATTATAGATGCCAATCCTAAAAACAAAAAAGCCTCAGATGTGATGGAAACAATAAGTGGAGGGTCTACATAAGAAAGTGAAACAAATCACTAGTACAAAGCATACAAAAACGACAAAATACACTAAGTCCTAAAATCAAAATAATATAGTCTTAATTATTATTCAAGCCATAAAATCCTGGGCCATATCAATTACGTAGATACACTAGTTAGAAAAATCTGGAAAATTATGTCAGCAACCATGCTTTACATTCTCAAAGTGATATGAATCAACTATATCATGTAATATTGGTGGCTGTGGGTTTCTACAAGTGAAGCAAACTGTTTGAAGAAGAGAAAAGATTCTTGAGTCAATACATCAGAGAAAGCAAAGAAAAATGTTAGTAATGTACATATAGAATATATTGAATACTGAAGAAACAAAGTATGTGAGAAATCACCTTGAAGTCTGGCAAAACAGACCACTACATGATCAGCATGTTGAAAACACAGAAAGAAAGATGAAAAGGGGAACATCTGTAAATGGTTACAGGACTGGATATGGAAAGAAGAAACCGAAGGACCTGTATTTATTCCTCAAGAAGATGCAGTTCAAACAAATAGCATCAAGCAAGTTCAAACAATAGAAAGTCTCTCTCTTTGTGTTTGTGTGTATGTACGTACAGCCTTGAAATAAGAAATGCCATACTAAAATGGCTGCAAGGATACACTGAACTCAAATAACTGCTAGGAACATAAGTCTACAAAAGTAGTAAAAATTGTAACCTGAAAATCTGAGGGGACTTTAAGATTCAGACTAACAAATGTTTGTAGCATAATATACCAGACATAATGTGGCTGAGAAAAAAAGCCTGAATTATACTTATGGCAATCCTGGGGTACAGAAGAATTGGAGACAAAGAGAGGGAAATGATTATGAACTATTGAGGCTTACAAATCAAGAAGCAAAGCCTCTGGGAAAAGAAAACAACTATGTTTCCAGTACTGAGAGATGCTTAGGGGCAATTTCAAAGGGTCTGACAAGACATGACAAGACATCTGAATAAAATCACCGTAGATAGGATCACATTGATTGCAAAAAGCAACATAGCTTAAAATGTGCCATATTATGTGGTGATACCTCATTAATTCCAAATGCAATCAAAAGTATTGATTGTCAATTAGAAACACTTTGTAGACTAATAATAATAATAGTAATAGTAATAATTGTATTTCTTACCTGCCTCTCGTCATGTCTCGAGGCAGGATACAGAATAATTTAAACACATAAACATTGTAAAAATACCACAAATATACATATAAAATGCATTTCTATAAAAATACGTATTATACGTATTTCTATAAAATACATATTAAAACACAGAAAACAGAGATTAAACAAAGGAAATGGGATTAAAATTCATGTTTAAAAACTAGCTGGGTAGGCCTGCCAGAAGAGATAGGTCTTTAGATGGTTTTTAAATTGTGACAGCCGATCTAGTTAATAATTATTAATTATAGTGGTACAGTATTATAAAAGTGAAGGAAAACTTGTTTTTGATTTTTGTTTATGTTAAGAAGCACTCTTTCCCGATCCCTAGATCTTTGGCAAACTCAGATTTTTCCAATTCGCATCTCACTTCAAAATATGAATTTAATAATAGAGTCCAAACCCTCCTGCACCGTTTTCCTATTTTCCTTGTCTGTTAGAGAGTATTAAAATCCAACTTCATTTCAAATGAATGAGTTCACTGATCCAATAAATATACCTTTTCAGCCACAAAAAAACTGTGATAGAGACATGACTATTGGCCACTTTTTTATTTGATTTCATTAGCCCCTCCTTGCGGAACCCGAATGTATCTTGAGTTTGAATAATCAGGTATAAAAGAGATTGAAACTTACTTTTAAAGGGTAGTCCAGATTGCTTTGTGTGTGTGTGTGTACTACTTCCTTTTTACTTGTGGTCTAGGAGAACTACAAAGCTCCTAAAGTAGTTGTCCCTCATTGTAAGAGCTGTTCCTATTACCTTTTTTGTTGCTTTCCTTCTCAAATCTGAGTAATTTTGAATATGCATAGATGTGTTCTTTGAAGCAGTCTGGTGGTGGCAGGCAGATTTCTATATAAATTTAGAAAAGTGTGTTGGCATTATGCTTTCTTGTAAAGATGACTTTTAGAAAAGAGTCCTGTCAGGTCTTTTTTGAAAAGAGTCCCCCCCTCCCTCCTTCCCTACCCCTCGTCCATCCTTCATTCAGCATTGTTCATGGCATTAACACACCATTGAACAAATTGCCCTTCTTGCATATGCTAATCCTGAACTTAAAAGAGCCCATTGTGACATGTTTAATGCTTTAGCTGGAGGGAAGATGAGAATTGGAGGCATGTCAAATTATCATGTGACCCAGAAATATCTAAAATGCCTCTCTTCCCCTTTGGGTCAACAGTTTGTACATAGCATTATCGAAAAGAGAGTAGCCTGTAGATTGTGGATAAGGTTAGTCTCTGCTCTCATCTTTTGGCCTTTATTTCACATTATGAGTTTTATCTTGGAAGTTTTGTGGGGTTTTTTTAAAAAAAGTGTGAGCAGTTAACTGTGTGAGATCAATGATTTGCTTACATTATCCATTAAATCAGCATTTTTTTCATTTTGTAGTTGTGTTTCTTTGGTTTATGCTTTGTATATACAGTTAGATGATGCACAAATTTCATTCTTTTAAGATCCGATACACATACCAATTTCTTAGATGTGTAAGTGGCTATGGGGTGATATTTTATTGAAAACAGTTGCAAACAAATCACATTTGTATTGATTCAGACTCTCTCCAGCATTTAATGGGAGAGAAGTACATCAGCTCAGAACTCTGCTGTCCTTTCCTGCACATTTTCCATCCTTTTCCTAGAGCTCCATTTAGTTTTTATCGTACTGATTTTCAGTAGCATGTTGAAAATCAGGACAGATTACTTCAAAATGTAAATAAACAAATATTTAAGAAGTACGGTTACTTTTCATAAACACAAATGCTATCTCCTTGGTTAAAATGTATTTCAGGAATAATAATAATAATAATAATAATAATAATAATAATAATAATAATAATAATAATAAATTTATTTGTATACCACCCTATCTCCCCGATGGGACTCAGGGTGGTTTCCAACATATAAGGCAAAACATTCAATTGCCAAGAGGAAAATCATACAAACATTAAAATAAAAACATCATAAAATACAAAAATTATAATAGAACACAACAATAAAAATTTAAAACAAATGCAATTATAACTCCATCAGATGCGGTTCCATAAAACCAATGGCTAGGACTACAAAATGGACATGGTCAACTAAAAAAGTGCTGGGCAAGTGATAATGCAAACAGTGTATCATAGGGCTGAAGAAGTGGAGAAAGTGCAGAACAGAGTACTAACTGATGACCTAGGACCTGGGCCTGGGGACTAATCATAGTGCAGTCTTGTTCTCACCCTACCTTCTTTCTGTAAAATAATAGTTGATTCAGAATCTACAGCAATTAGGGTTTTTAAAATTAAGCAAACGTCTCCAAACTTTACTATACTTTACGTGTCTTTATAGCATTGTTTCCTTATCGAAATCATAACACAGTGGAACTCTATATATTTTGTGTTTGAAAATTCTTCACTGGGGTATGGCAAAGATCTTTAATGAGGAGGAACACAGAAACTTAAGGGAGGCTGCAGTAGTTTGCTTTTGCCAGAGGCTGCTGTGAGCTACCTCTTTTCCACTCCCTGTGCTAAGTTAACTGAGTGGAAACTGCTTTTGCATTTTCATCTCTTTTTGCAGCAACTAAAGTAAACTGAGGACAAACAGGGAAAGTGGAAAGAAAATAGATTTGGTTTGAAAGAAAGGTGATATATAAATGTAATAAATAAAAAATAGAGTAACAGAGCTTAAAATGGGGGACAACAAAGGATTCATTGCAATTGGAACAACTGGGGGGTAGGCATTACTATAGAGTAGGAAGGCAGTTGATTAACTTTGCAATGACCACAGGAATCTCATGTTTCCTAAAGGTGAATATAGTAAAGGTAGATGACCTTGTTCTTGTATCTGTATTTGCAGAGTAATTCACTCTTGGTCCCGGACAGCCTGCGGAACACAGATAAACGAAGGAATGGGCCTGATTATTCCAATGACATGAAGAAGAGGAAAGTGGATGATAAAGATTCTAGCCACTATGTAAGCAACTCTGACAAAGATGTTAACTAACTGTAGGAATGGAGAAACATTACAGGGTTTGTTACACGTAAGCCTGAACACTGATAGAAAGCTAGCTTCATAAAGGGTACAGGGACCATATAGCCTCCCCCTGCCCCATTACAACAACTCCATTGGCTGCTACTTTATTTCTGGACCAAAATCAAAGTGCCAGTATTTTCCTACAAAACCTTGTATGGCTTAGACACAGTGTGTCTGTCTAACAGACTGACAGATCATAGCTCCCCATAGGAGTCTGACTTGGCCCTGAGATCCTCGCTTTCAGTCCCAGAAAGGGCTTTGGAGAATGAAGGCTTGTTTTTATTGTCCTTTTCAAAAATGCTTTTAAAATCTTTTTAGATGGATGTTTTTTAATTCTGCTTTAATTTTGATTTTTTAAAAAAATGTTTCAAGCTATATTGTTTTGGCTTTAAATTGTAAGTTGTTTTGTGTCTCAGGGACCTTCCACACAGCCATATAACCCATCATATCACAATACCTACTTTGAACTGGATTATCTTGAGTCCACACTGCCATATAATCCAGTTCAATGTGGATTTTATACAGCTGTGTGGAAGGGGCCCCATTTTTGGGGGAAAGGCAAGGTCTAAATAAAGATGCTGATGGTGATGATGATAGTACCAGGTTTTAGGACAAGAGCAAGCAAAAGTTCTGGTTTGGCTGCAAAGTAAATAAGGTAAGCCAAAGACTAATATTTCTTAGTTTGTTTAGGCAAGAGGGAATTGCTCAGCTATAATAATCCAGAATTCTCAGCGAAGTGTTGTTTGCTGTTACTTCTGAACTGGGCCATTGATTTCCTGACTATTTCTTAAGAACCTAAGAAATGGAGAGAGGATGTGACGAACACATTGTATATTTTGTGTGAATTAATTTGCTAATTCCTGCTAACACTCTCATAAAAACAAACTCTTTGTTCAGCGTACAAGACAATGTTTTGCCACAGTGCACTTTTTCCTTATGTTTAAGGATTTTTGTACAGTGACAAACATTTAAAAAAAATAACAGATGCCCTCTTTTTGATGTAGAAATATTTTAAAACAGGAAACACTGTTGTTTAGAAAATACCATAAAGCTGCAGGCATGGTTCAGTTAACAATGCCTATGATAAAGACGTTCCTTTTTAGAAAGACTTTTTCTGCCATACAGCCTGTCCTCTTTTCCTCCTTGTCTTCTGTCTAGACCAGGCATGGTCAAACTTTGGCCCTCCGGGTGTTTTGGACTTCAACTCCCACAATTCCTGATAGGCTGTTAGGAATTGTGGGAGTTAAAGTCCAAAACACCTGGAGGATTGAAGTTTGCCCATGCCTGGTCTAGATAGAAGTTGTTCTTTTTTAAAGCAACACTTGAATTGGTAGGGTGTAGTGGTGGACTGGAGAAACATAGACATTCAGTTGCTGATTTGTAATAACATTTTCTGCAGTAAATAATGAAAGAATGAGATATTCTTCAGCCGATCCTAGCTTAATTGAATAAGAAACTTTAGTGAACATATTGAACTGGTTTTTTGTGGTATCAGAACCCATCCCTATGCTTTCTATCTTATTTCTACTTCTATTTATCAAATTATCTGTTAAAGAATTAATACCCAGGAACACACCTGGGTATTACCTCATTTGTTAATTGAGGTATACCTATAGTTTCCCATAGAAACTACCAAAGTTTTTCACATGCAATGCATTTAATCTGGATTTTTGGCTTACTTGATTATAACTAGTGAATGTAACTGACAGTATTCCTGAATATCATACTGTGTTTGTTTGTTTGTTTGTTTAATCTAGGACAGTGATGGGGACAAAAGCGACGACAACTTAGTTGTGGATGTGTCTAATGAGGTAAATTTTCTTTACGTGAGATGGAAATGGCTTTAATTCATGTCTCTGGAAGTTGTGTATTTGCTGTGACGGGCTATTTGGACAGGAGGAGCAAAGTAGGCGAGGCAGATCAGGAAGTTAAAAAGCAATCCTCTTGGGCATTCCAGCAGTACTGCTTGTGATTACAGATTACAGTGTTGAAACATTTAATTATACTCATTTTGAATATTAGAAAGGTACATAATGATGTTACTGTTACTTTATGCTATATACCATTACAAGATAGCTTTTTGTCATTTGTTTTTGTTGTTCCATGTTGTATGTCTTCTATGTTCTTTCCAGCTTATGAAAGCCTAATATGAATCTTTTAAAGTTGTTTTAACGTCAGTATTGGACTACACAGAGAAGCAAGAAGACCTCTGAAAGACACCCTATGTGGTTTCAAATTCAATTACATGAAAACAGCTTTAAAATCATGGATCACGAACCAAAACTCTGATTTTTCCAAAACTGTTTGATGCCTGGGTTAAACGATGGCATAAATGTGTACAAATTGATGGTGACTATATTGAATAATAGCTTTGTGTAGAGGATGGGCTGTATACAAACCATTAAACTTTATCATCAATTCTGGAGGAAAGATCTGAAACCTACCTCAAAATTTCCTTGCTGGTTTTAATTTGTCTTTTCCACCATAGAAACCATCATCTCTCCTCCTTCTCACCTCTCACTACTTCCTGGACCTTATACTAAATGTCTCATAGTTTAACCCAGCCTAAGTGCAGTGCAGACCTTGGCAAATTGAAACCTTTTCATTTCAGAGTACTTGAAAAAATCAACCTCTGTCCTGGTTTTAGGTTAAAGGATTGCTTCCTTTAACCCCAAAGCTGCTCCTGTGCCTTGTACTCCCCCTCTTTGTGCTGCCTCTCAGGAGCATACAAATATAACAATCCACACCCTTGTTCCTGCCATCTACGCAGGACCCTTCTTCTCCGCGGGCAAGCCCTGCCCATTCACCACGAGAGAATGGCATAGACAAAACCCGCCTCATGAAGAAAGATGCCTCCAGTAGCCCAGCATCCACTGCCTCCTCAGGGAGTTCTGCGTCTATGAAATCCAAAGAAATGGGTTTGGTGAGTATTTCCCCCCTATTAAGCGGTTTGTCTGTAAGCCTACATTTTCATAATAATCATCATTATTTATTCATACGTGACTGAATGATTTTCAGACTTTGGATGAATTGCTTGAAGGGATGAAGCGGGGGAAGGGGGCAGTTTAATGTAAGAACCTCCTGTTCATTCATAATGTGAAGATCTTTCTTTTTACTCAAATAATCTTTCTTTTCTTTCTCTTCATTTTGGAATGACTGCTAACCATCTTGAAGAGATCACAAAATACTAGCATTTCAGCTTTGATTTTCTTTGGAATATTCCTCTGGAGATAGTTATCTGCTGTTTAAGGCATTACTATTTGCCCACATCTCATGAGAATGTAATTGATCAGAGTTCAAAAATGCTTTCTGCATATCCTCAGTACTTAGTCCAAAATGTAGCTCCCCAGCTAAGAAAATCTTGTAATGTTTGCAAACAAATAGCTTTATAATGAAACAATTGTTTAAATCTGAACGTGCTAAGTCCAATAGGGATTTTGTCTTTTGATATCACTGTGATGTGGTTTGAAATACTCCAAAAAGAGTACACTAAAGTTGTGGCTGTCAAATGCTCTCTATTCCCTGTCTGAAGTCAGCAATATAACTACATACAATAACATCAAACTGACAAATGTTTTGCCAACATGACTCTAGAGCATTTAATATTGAAGTAATTGGAACTCCTGCATTTAAATTAAAATAACTGATAAAAAATTAAAGCATAATGACCTAATCAATACTAGCGCTTGCCAGTAAATAATACAATTAAGACATGTTACATGCCTTGCCTTTTTCACATATATCAGGAAGGTCAATATGGCTTAGATTTTCAGAAATTGGCCCAAGGGCAGTAGGGAGTGAGCACTTCACTATGGTAGCAGCTATTGTCAAAACACTATATAATATATCCTGAGGATACTGATTTCCTTTGTTCAATGATACCAGCATGAAAAAGCCAGCACCCCAGTTCTGAAATCCAGCACACCAACTCCACGAAGTGATGTGCCAACTCCAGGAACCAGTGCCACACCAGGGCTTCGTCCAGGCCTTGGCAAACCTCCAACAATGGATCCTCTGGTCAACCAAGCTGGTAACATACTTTTTTTTAAAGTCCCGATTAAATAATTAATTATTGCTTACTCTATACATGGATATTTGTCATTTACATGTTGAATTAGAAAACCCAATATGTTAAGGCCTCCCTTTCATAACAATTTCCTTGCATCTTTGTTTCTTTTTGACAGTTTTGCTGTCTGCATGATTTTCCAATCTTCCCAGTTAATACCAACAGTAGAAGAGCTTTACAAAAGTGTCTGATCATTGTTCTGAATGCAGATTTTTTAAACTATTCTCATATATTTGAAATTGTAGCAACTTTTTAAAAAAGATGTCACCTTTGGCAGTTGAATATGAGTTATTGTCAGTGACTTCAGCTTTATCAATCTTGTCCATAGCAAAAACAAAGCAAAACCCATCTTCAGGGATCCTGTGTGAATGTGTTTGAAAGGTGTGTGTGGTGGTGGGAGGGAGCTAATGGCAGCAAAGAGGGTAAGGAATGTAACCTACTTTTCATGAGTATTTTAACAGCTGCTCATTTGATGGGTAAATGCCTCTGTTAAAAGCTATCACATTCAATATGGTTGAAATTTTATCCTAGTCATATGTACACCCATAAAGGATACCTGAGAATGATCAACTGAGCAAACCAAAAATTACAGAACGTACAGAATTCTGTTACAGAACATTCTTTATTGATAAAATCAATAGGAAAGGATCTTCTTCTCTCCGTCCTATATCAGTCAGGTTCAACTACAGCAGCTATTTTTTCAGCCTTTCTAGAGGAGGACATCTGACCAGAGTTCCTTAGAAAATCTTTAAACATTGTGGGGGAATCTACTTACTTTTGGACTCCATACATATATGGAGAACAGTTTGTAATGGGAAGGAAGAGGTCTACTTGAGTACAGTCTGGACTATAAGTGTGGCTCTTTGATCATATAAAGGGACTGGAAAGAACGTTGTACTCCTCATAATTACGCCATTTCATTGTATTGTAGCTGCTGGCTTGAGGACACCTCTTGCTGTACCAGGACCATACCCAGGCCCATTTGGAATGGTACCTCATGCTGGCATGAATGGGGAACTAACCAGCCCAGGAGCCGCCTATGCCAGTCTTCACAACATGTCCCCCCAGATGAGTGCTGCTGCCGCCGCTGCTGCCGTAGTTGCCTATGGACGATCCCCTATGGTACGTTTGCAGCCTAACTGCTAAGAAGATAGAATTCCCTGGGAATCTTGTGTTCTATGCTGCACATTGCCAGATTCCTGTCATATGACAATACTAAAGATTTGTAAGTTCTTTCCATATGATACACACTGTTACGTGTCAGGAAAGGACTCTGTTACTTGCCACCTTATTTGAAAAGGAAATGCCTCACTTTAATGTTTAAATATATTTTCTATTTTTGATAGCAGCTCAGGTGTTTTGGTTCATTAGAAGATAACTTGAAAGCAGAACATTGTTTCACTGGTTCACTGAGCAGGTATTTGTTCTTCTGAGGAAGCATATTTGTTTAGTGAATATCTTATATGGGTTTTGTACAATGTAAGTTTCTGTTTGGTAAAGTAGAACATACCTCTTGCTCATGTAAAAAATTGAACAATTTATCTTTTGCTCTTTGATGGAGATAGTATTGTCAGGTTTTCAAAACAATAGTAAGGGGGAGTTAAAATTTATAATGTGCTATTAAGTTTGTGTTTTATCTAAATACTAAAATGAAAGTTTGGATTTCAGTAAACTTGAATATATCTTTCGCTATAAAGTTAACATATTGTCAACATTCATAAATTACCTAATCCTCACAATTCTATCTTTATGATGTATCCAAAACCCAAAATATTGAATTCGAAGGACTTCTTGTTCAGTTTGTATAAAAGGAAAAGCTTTCCAAATAGGAGACATCTTCTATAATAAGGGACATCTGCCAGACCAATAAGGGTCAAGATTTCCACCCCTTAAAAAGGTGGACCTCTTGTAAAAAGGGACACCTGGCCATTTAGGTGACCATCTGTGGACACCTGACTTTTTACGCCTAGTTTTCAAAATACTTTAGCCTAGCAATAGGGAACCTGGTACCGTTTGTGGATCTTTTGGACTATATCATTCATAGTCTCAAAGGACTATTGGAAACTGTAGCCAAAAATCCTGGGAGGTTGCCCAATTGCTTGCTCTTGTCTCAAAATATGAGTACCGTATATACTCAGGTATAAGCTGACCAGAATATAAGTCGAGGCACCTAATTTTACCACAAAAAACTGGGAATATTTATTGATTTGAGTATAAGCCGAGGGTGGGAAATGCAGCAGCTACTAGTAAATTTCAAAAATGAAAATAGATACCAATAAAACTACATTAATTGAGGCATCAGTAGGTTAAATGTTTTTTGAATATTTACCATATTTCAGAGAAAAATAGTAAACAGCTCTGTAAGTGGAAAAGGAGAGTCAACAAAAAAAGTATGGCATCAACAATAACTTAATAATAATAGTTATTATTATTATTATTATTATTATTATTATTATTATTATTTATTTGTTCCCCACCCTATCTTCCCAAGGGGGCTCAGGCCAGCTTCCAACATAGTAACAGGCAAACAGTCAGCCCCTGGCTGGCTTACTGTTCAGTGAAGAAGAGTGTGTGAGCCTTCACCTTCTCCATATTTTTTCTGGTCCAGGCACAGGGGGAAAATCTGAAACTTCTGCTTTAGATTAGCTGAAACTTAGCATATTATCCGAACCTCCAACTCCAGTTAAGCAGGCCAAGGCTGTGCACTGTTTATTATGGTTTGTATGACACAACACTGTGGTTAATCTAAAATGGTGGTAAAGGTTTCCAAAAGCTCCTTCATTGCCATGCCAAGGAAATGGAAGAATATATTTGTTATCCCTGAGTTTGCTAGATTCCATTATGGTCAACGTGTCCTGTGTTCATATTATGCTCATTGTGGCCTTTAAAATGGGGCTATATGTCAAAAATGAGATTGTGGACATCCGTCTAGTTACTATTTTTGAATTTCTTACATAATATTTATCAGGAAGGAAATCAAAACTTCATCACCATTTTATCTTGGATGGAACCAGATGCAAAAATGCATGGAAACTTCTGCAAAATGAAATAAATATAACTTATAATTTATAATTTATAAAAATTATAAATATAAATTATAAATATATAATTTATAAATATAACTGTATACAAGTTACACAGTTACCAAGTTTTATTTATTTGGAACAGTTTAACCATAATCGCTGTTCCTTCTTTTGTTTTTGTTTTTTCTTTCGTCCTGCCAGCAAATAGGCTCATCTGTTGTGAAGATGTAGCAGTAGTTTTGGACTTTGCATGTTCTCCCCACAGCGCTTTTGTAGATCATTATGTTCAGTTGTGGCCATAGCATATGTAATGCGTTTAGATCTCTGTTCCAATTTGTCAGGTTAGTGAGCCAGAAAATTCTTGCTCAACTGATCGTTCTGAGATATATTATGTTTGTTCATTATCAGGTAGGGTTTGATCCTCCTCCACACATGAGAGTACCTGGAATCCCTCCAAATCTGGCTGGAATCCCTGGAGGAAAACCGTAAGTAACTTTGGATATTGTAGTTTTTTAGTCTGAATCAGCCAGGGTACATTTTGTTTACCTCATATTAACGGATGAGAGTCCCAAAGGAAGAACTACATTGGGTTTTTCCAATGTATTCTACTAATACTTTGATATAACAACAGTGCTGCACTATGCTTTCATATTTTTATATAATCAAAACCTGTTATTTTTAGGCTTTTGAAAACCTAAGTGGATGTAGAGTCACAATTACTTACCTCTTCATTAATACATCAGCTTCATAACTGGGAGGCAAGAACTTTTGAAAATGAAGCTTAGAAACTTTTTATACCTGCCCAATGCTAGGACAATGTTCAGGGTTGTAGGTGTGGAGCATGTTGATTTGTTAAAATTGGACTTTTAAGAAGAATGAATTACTGGTACCTTTCCAAGTTCTGTCAGAGATTATAATCAGCCATACACTCAAGTCCTTCTAGGTCACTGGTTCTCAAACTGTGGGTCCCCAGGTATTTTGGCCTACAACTCCCAGAAATCCCAAGCAATTTACCAGCTGTTAGGATTTCTGGGAGTTGAAGGCAAAAACATCAGGGGATCCACAGGTTGAGAATCACTCTTTTAGGTGAACCGTTTGCTCCATTTGACTTTGTTCTTAGGCTTATGTATATTCTAAACTTTCAAAATCTAGGCCATTGCTTGGTCAGGCATGAATTCTGAAGATATTGAATTTTCACATGTGCAAAATGTAGTTAAATATTGGCCTGAGCAGAAACCAGTCTTGGAAGCATTGTAGGATTCTGTATTTCTTACCTTCAGGCACTTAGCACTGACAGACAGGGTTGGGTATTCCATGTTAAGGTGTAGTATAATATCTGGTATGTTATAATGGATTTTGATATCTTTTCCAAAGATTCTTCCTTCCTGCTGTTTTCATTATTTTAAAATAGCAATGTCATGACCTGTGTGGCTATTGGGAAATTGTTTTTATTTTAATTTGTATACCTGTGTAATGACAGAAGCCAAGAAAAAGCACCAATGTCAGAAAGGAGCTAAAGACTTAAGCGTATTGTACAATTTCAGGACTCTTTTTCATAGTTCATGTTCATTGACCCTTGTTTTTTAGACTTAACGTTAAAAACACATCTCCCCCCCCCCCCCATCTATTCCTTTCTTACACACACACAGGCACATGCACACACTTACTGCTTGCTTGGGAGCTCCTTCCATCTTAGCTTGTGTGTACTATATAAATAGACAAGATAAACTTTGAAAATCCTAGGTGCTGAGTTGATCTGCTTTCATTATTTGCCTTTGAAACTAGACTGACGCTATGCCTGATCACCCCAGGCAGCAGGATGCCTTCAGTTACCCATAGCAACTTTCTGATGGTATATCCTTATCTATGATAGATAAGTCTATTGAAAATTCCTGGTGTAGAAGTTCAGATAATACGCTGTCTGCAGCAGATTCATATTGACAGCAGGAGAGTTTTTGGCCTCAGTTTGAAAGCTAGTTTCTTTCAGCCACACAAATCGGGATGTCACATTGAATTTATTTTGTAAATGGGATGCAGCATTCTAGTTGTGCATCTTCTTCTTGGTAGAGGTGAGAGTTCCCATCCCTTCCTTTCCACTTCCTTAACAAATAACTGGAAGTGAAGCACTATGCCTCAGTTGGTTACTATTTTATTGTTTATGACATGGAGCAACATGCGGGTGTTGTGCTTTGTACGTTGAATTGTTTTTTTAAAAAAGGTATGCGAGATGTCTGTCTTTCTAGAGAAACAGAAAACAATTAGACTAGAACTGCCTGTTGTTGGGTTTTTAAAAAAAGAATTAATCAGCCTCTTAGGAGCACAATCTTGTTTTCCATTCTGCTGCTGATGAAAGGGCTCCCTCTGGACAACCTGTTTCCTGTTTCTTCTCCAGCACCTGACACCATGCTAATAGAATCCCAAGTCTAAGATTACTTAAAAATCTAGCCCTTGTTTAAGGCTTCTTAAAATCCTGGGGATTACTTTGGACAGTAATGATGTGTGCAAATATTAGAAGCATTGGGATGATGCTTCATGTACTTGTGGTTATCATTAACATTCAAAGCTACCATGGTTTCTCTCCTTTCCACAAATATACTTACCTTGATACTTGCATTACTGCTGCTTGCTGTATTGTGTAACCAGTAGTTCACTGGAGCTTTGGTACACTGAATGCACATCCTAACACCCACCTCTCCTCATTACCATATCCTATGGAATTCTAAGATTTATAGTTTAGCAAGGTACACAGAATAATCTGCTCCTGTCCAATTAAACAGGGGTTCTGGAATGCTGATCCTGCAGTTGTTTTGGGCTTCAACGCCCAGCTTTGCCAATGATCAGGGATCCTGGGAACTGAGATCTAAAGGACTAAAACATTTAAAAATCCTATTGTACTACAGATTCCAACATTCTGAAGTATAGAACCATGCATTTCCAATTCAGGGAGACTTTTAAGATAAATATTTTCCAGCATTGAATAACTGGGGCCAATATGTGTATCTTGGTTAATTAGCTACAAATACCTTAGAATCTGTATATATTTGTTGAAAGGAATTGACCTTTGTGTAAGGTAAAACTGATAACTACTTGGCTTGGATTTCATCTGTTTATTTTTTTAAGGAGGCCAGACTAACAAAATTATATACTGTAATCACTATTTTAAGCCCTGCAGAGATGAAAAGACTATAACTAAATGCTAATACAGCAGGGATGGAAAGAGGAAGGAAACACTTTAGTTCTGCCTCCATTTCCCTCTCACCCATTACACATCTGATAGATTTAGGGATTCTGATTGAGCAATTTTCATAGATTCCCTTTTCCTTTAATACCCATGCCTCAAGAATAATGTAGCAAGCTTTGCCATGAAATATGTGAATCCTTTTGCCACCTAATATTGTGGGTGGGAAGACTTCGGAGTCATGATAATTAACTAACTTACTTTCATTGGAACCTATGCATAATAGTCCCATAATTCAGTGATAACTTAGCAAAAGGAAATAGGTGAGGTTTTAAAATTCCAAGCAGGATGCCTTATGATAAAGCAGAAATCAACTGACACAAACTTCAACAACTCCCGAGAAGAAATTTGCTTATTCATGTCATTCACTGAAAAATCATGAGGACCTTTCATAGAATCATAGAATCAAAGAGTTGGAAGAGACCTCATGGGCCATCCAGTCCAACCCCCTGCCAAGAAGCAGGAATATTGCATTCAAATCACCCCTGACAGGATGGCCATCCAGCCTCTGTTTAAAAGCTTCCAAAGAAGGAGCCTCCACCACACTCCGGGGCAGAGAGTTCCACTGCTGAACGGCTCTCACAGTCAGGAAGTTCTTCCTCATGTTCAGATGGAATCTCCTCTCTTGTAGTTTGAAGCCATTGTTCCGCGTCCTAGTCTCCAGGGAAGCAGAAAACAAGCTTGCTCCCTCCTCCCTGTGGCTTCCTCTCACATATTTATACATGGCTATCATATCCCCTCTCAGCCTTCTCAGATAAACATTAAGCACAGAACCATCTTCATGTGTGTTCATGAAGTATGACTGTGCCCTTGCAGCATAAAAACTTGGTCATGATTTTTTTTATGGAACTGGCCTATAAACCTATATATAAGTCTAGAATTTTAGTCAAAAAATTCAAAACATCTGAGTCGACATTCATGGGTTAATATGAATACTGTACCCTAATGCTTATTGATATAGGATTCTCTAAGTAGAGTGGCGGAAAGCAAGAGCTTAGCCCATCCCAGAAGAACCTAAAAGAAGTACTGACCATGAGTCATATCAAAATCCATAATTTTGGTCTCAGTCTCTGCCTTTGACTTAGATATGAGATTGACATATACATGAATATATACAGTATCTCACCAGCCATTTACTAGGGATTGACTCCTTTTACCTTAGAATTATAACACCGCCACTGCTTTTCCAACTTCATTGCTTTTAATACATAAAGTAGCCAGAGTTGTAATTTAGCACAATAATTAGGCCAATGATGTAACCTATGTTCTTTTCTTCTCATCCCAAACAGAGCATATTCATTTCACGTTACTGCAGATGGTCAGATGCAGCCAGTACCTTTCCCCCCAGATGCTCTCATTGGACCAGGGATACCTCGGCATGCTCGCCAGATCAATACCTTGAACCACGGGGAAGTGGTGTGTGCAGTTACCATAAGCAACCCAACAAGACATGTGTATACTGGTGGGAAAGGGTGTGTCAAAGTCTGGGATATCAGCCAGCCTGGCAACAAGAGTCCTGTTTCTCAGCTGGACTGTCTGGTAAGTGAACATGTCCTTTCTAAATACAGACACATTCTGCTGAAAACCAGAACCGTCTGAACCATGGATACAGGGTCCACAATACCCTGTACCCACAGTTTCACCTATCTGCATGTGACAAAATAAGTTCTCTCAAGGTATTTTCGAGATCCTTCAGGTGATTCTATGGTATGCTTCCGCTGGAAGTTACCAGGAGAGTTGCCCTGGAGAACATAGCAAATTCCCTGAGAGGTTACCTTTAGGAATATGCTAGGTACTCCAGGATGACTCTATGGCAACTTCTGGCAGAAATCATTCATTTCAGTAGGATTTCCTGTTTCCATTGAAAGTTCAGGATATGAGAGTAGAACTGTATTGAAACATGGATGAACATAGTTACTTAGGCGTGTTACTTTATCTGTATAGCCATTGTACATATGCACATTTTGTAGGTATGGCAAAAATACATCAGGAGCAAAAATAAAATGAGCATTGTAAGCTGAATGTAAAGGTTTAAAGCCGCAATGTAAGCTAAACAACACCGAATAAAGCATAATCATTCACTGAGCCAAGAAGCCACTTAATTGGAAGAGTAATTCATCCATCATAAGCAGATCACTGAGAGTTTAGAGAGTTACTTTTAAAAAGTAAGTAACATTGTTCAAGGGTAGGGCTTCTCAAGTAGAGTTCACTGGAATCTAGGGTTCTGCATGAGCTTGCTTGGGGTTCAGGATGTGAAACAAGTGTTTTACCAATTCTGCATGCAATGGTTCAAGATGCTTAACTATAGGATGTGCCCTTTATTACTACCCATGAGGTGTGAAATAAAAATCCTACTATAACAAAAATAAACCCTTTTACAGTAAAGGAAGTGTAATACAGAAACATAACATAATTGCTTTCTCTTACCAGTGCTAGGCATTTTTATTGGTTTTATCCTCTTGGCTGCTACAGAACTTTTACCACTCTTATGTGGCTTTTAAAAGTGATAATCTTGCAACTGCTGCAATTATGTACTAAAACCTGTAATAACCAGGGCTGAAATTTTGTTTTCCTGCCTTGATTTTGTTTATTTATTTATTTTTCTCCAACTAATATTATTAAAATTGAAACTGGGGGTATCAAGTATTAAACTGTAAAATGAGTCTACATGGCCTAGCGAAGGCTGACTTGTTTTGTCAAAACAATTCCTTTGACCAGAGCTTGGAAACCTTACGCTGAAAAAACTACACCACCTAGACTCCCCCAGCCCATATGGCCATTGCTGATACTGTTGGAGAGATTCTAAGAGTTGTATATCAAGGAATCAGTATTCCTAAGTTCTGTTGTTAACAGTGCATTGCACATTTTATATGATAATACACATATACATACACTCAACCCCCAGGCTCATCTTGATAGAGTGTGCATGTATGCATGCATAGCTAGCTACTATGATTAAGGAGCATTGATACCAATAGCTAGCTAGATGTAATAAAATAAAATTATAGGAACCCCATTAGAGAAATGAAAGCACTCTAAGGGCCCTTCCAGACAGTCTCTATATCCCAGTATCTGATCCCAGTTTTTCTGTTTATCCCAGATTATCTGGCAGTGTGGACTCATATAATCCATTTTAAAGCTGAAAACCTGGGATCAGATCCTGGGATACAGGGCCTGCCTGGAAGGGCCTTAAGAGTGCATAGCTGTACAAAGCTAGAACAGAGTAAGTTTTACTTTTGGAGCTGTGATAGAGCAGAGGTCAAATGAAACCTAAGAATATCATTCGAGAGCTTAAGATAGGTTTATAAAACATGAAGTTATTAGGTAATTGAAACACTCATTAACCATGTCACTGTCGCTTTCACATGTAACTCTTTAAACATGGCATTATTCCAGTTTCAACGTTTCTTGGCTCTGCTTCTTGTTGCAGAACTTGCTCTGCAGTAAAATGGAAGAAGATGCATTTATCTCATTGAAAAAAGAAAGTAAAGAATCATGCTTCCAAGAGAGAGCTTAATTGGAATTTTCTTAGCAGAAGGAAACATTATGTTGTTGTAATGTATCTTCAAGCTGGTTCTGACTAATATTCAAGGGTTTTCCTGGCTTGTTTCTTTTCTTTCTTTCTTTTTCAGAGGAGAATTGCCATTCTTGTCATCTAAGGCTGGGAAAATATAAATTAATAAATAAGAACACCTAGTGGGTTTTCATTGCTGATTAAGTATTTGAACCTAGGTTTTCCAGAGCCTGAATCTAACACTGAAGACTACTCCACAGTAGATTGACAGGACATTTCAGAGTTTAAAATCTGGGTGGGGCATAAAACATGTCATTATTCAGTATTGTAGAATGTGTATTAATGTGATTGAGGGGGTTGTGTTTCCTACAGAACAGAGATAACTACATTCGATCTTGTAAATTGCTCCCTGATGGATGCACCCTGATCGTCGGTGGAGAAGCCAGCACGCTATCCATTTGGGACCTGGCAGCACCGACTCCACGTATCAAAGCCGAGCTGACGTCGTCTGCCCCTGCCTGCTATGCCCTAGCAATCAGCCCGGATTCCAAGGTCTGCTTCTCTTGCTGCAGTGATGGCAACATAGCTGTGTGGGATCTGCACAATCAAACACTGGTCAGGTCAGTTGATGTTTCTAAAACATGTTTCATCTACAGAGCTGTCCTATGAAAGATTTTTTGCCTTAAAGTAGTTGATTTTTCTCCAGCATCCATGTTTTAAGTATCTGGATAATTCCTACTGAAACCCCATTAGTCATAGAGGGGGTTAGACAAAATTTCTGGAAATTGAGGGTATGATTGACATGCCCTGTCACTATCAATATAATTAGACACATTTGTTGAGGTTTGCTGTAGTCCAAGTGTAAGGGGGTTATGCATTCTTACCCCTCCATGTAGTCAACCCAGTATAAACGTTAAAAAAATGTTAGAAGAAATGAAGTATCATTGGTTAATTTGGCTAATTTATTATTTTAAAACAGGGTTTTCTTGGGTTTGAAATTATAAGTACCTTTGCTTCAAATTCTGTTGGTTTTCAGTATCAATACAGTTCCTTATACCCCCACATTCCACCACTTCACAAAAACCTCACACATTTCCAGCCTCATTTTCAAAACATAGTGACATTGGGTTGTAGCTTGCTGTATTTGTGTGCTCCGGTCACTGTGTATAGGTTTAACATGTTTGGAGATCCACACAAATACTCAAGAAAGTTTGTAGTAGCCTTAAAGAAGCTTTGTCATGCTTGTGAGAACGTCTTTACATGACTGATCACATTAGGGTTGGATTTTGAAAATGCTACCAGGTTTCCAACAGCCACTCCTTTTGCTTTGTTTTCAGGCCAACATTTATTTGCTAGTATGTGTACATAAACACCATAACCGACTTTAAAAAAATTAACTGGCTGCTCGCCATCTTTGCTTCCCGAAAGCACAGCAGGTGTGCTCTGCAAACATCTCTGAAAATGCTGAGTGGCCAGAATATTAATAGCTCATTTTCAGGTTATCTGGTTGCCCTCAATTGCTTTTGGCATAGCATGCATCAGGGGAAAAGCATAAAGCAGAATAAAAACCCTTTGGTGTATATCCAAATGAGAAGCTGAAGAGTTTCCCATTGGATTAGCTTTCACCAGGGACAGCTGACATTATGATAGTCAAATTATAGCAGTGTTTCTACATAATTAACCCCCATTTCTTTTATATGCAAATCATGGGCTGCTCTTCCATTGATGTTCCCATCCATTCTTCTGTCACATACTTCAGTACATCTTCATCCTCCACCTTCACTTTGGGACCCTACTTTTTATATCCCCAGTTTGCTTCATAATTATGCTTTATTCTTCTTTGTGTCTGGTACATAGAACCTTTTCTTCCTAATTCAGCTTCCTGTTCTACTACTTTCCTTCTTCTTTGGTTCGTCCTCTGGATATATGTCACTCTCTCGTCTATATTCCAAACTGCAGAGAGCCAGCATAGTATAGTGGTTTGAACATTGGACAAGGTGACTTGGAACCTGGGTTTGAATCCTTGCTCAGACATTGACATTTATTGGATAACCTTGGACAAGTCACACTCCCTCAGTCTCAGGAAGACAAGAGCAAACTCCTACTGAACAAATCTTTCCCAGAAACTTTCCAAAGGTTTCACTTTAGGATTGCCAAGTGTCAGAAAAGACTTGAAGGCACACAACAACTACAACATTTTTAAGGGCAATATATATCAGGCCTATTTCTTGTTAAACCAGTGCCAGTATCCCTGTCTTGCATTAATGAAACACTCTCTGCATTCCATCTTACATTCATACCCCTTTTTTATGAGATATGGATTGGACACAGACAATATTCGTCTAATTTGACGATAAGAAACATGTATTTTGGGGTTCAATTAAATTATGATTTTGGAATTCTGCTACAATATGACTATGACTACCTGCGAAAAGGATTACCTGTGATTCTTTTGGCTTAGAGTCTGGAAAACCTACCTCTTTTCACTATGACTTCCAGTATCCTCTAGCCAACATAGCAATGACTATAATGTCTGAGGGAATTTGGGGAGCTACCCCCCCCCCAAAAAAAAAGTCTTTAAAGCTTTGGTTTAGCTATATGTAAATGGCATCTGCTAATTTCTAAGCATTTGCTATGTTTCCACTCTGTTTTGTCTACATCACTTCTGACTTCTCCCAGAAGACCATTGCAGCTGCCCTGGAGCATATTTTAGAAACTATATTGGCCAACTGGATGTTGCCAAGCTATCAGTTTCTGCTAACCTAAATTTAGAGGTTTTCAACTTCAGTCTCTTGGCATCAGGTACCTTGTCCTGGAGCAGCCAGTCTGTTTTATTATTTTTTAAAAAATGCTCAGTCACTTATACTCAGTGTTAGACCATCCCAACATTTCTGGCAGCAAAGGTGCAAATCCACGAGACAGCTCTTAAATCTTTCACTTAGCTAAAGGACAAATAAAATTAAAAATTAGCTCATGAATTTTGTGTGTTCTGTTTTTTCCTACTTCATTTTTGGCAGCTGATTAGATTGTCTACTCTCCACACTCCAGATAAGTGACTTCTCTTTTTGTAGGGAGTATCTAGCACAGGCTGGTAAGGTAGAGAGTGTAGTTAACATAATGTCCCCATACCTAATTTTCTTTGGAGCCTTCTGGTTGAACGGATGAATGTGTTGGTACACCTTGATGTGAATGCCTTGGCAAGGCAGCAATGTTGAACAGCCCAAAATAGTTCCATTTTATGACAGTGTTTGGTGGACCACAAGACCAGCTTTTTCATACTTCACAACAAAATTGGCAGTAGCCCACAGTAAATCTCAGCAAGTGCAGCCGGCATTTGCACCTGCCTTGGTAATGAGAAGCTATTTAAAGCTTCAAAGTTTGGGCACTTAAGCATTTCTGGACACTTCCAGGCAGTGTGAGTCATCTAAATTATGCACAGGACGGTGGGAGATCTGTAGTTATAGGAAACATCATAACATTATACCAAGGTAGTCCAGAATACAAAGAGATCCAAATTTTGCTGCATGTTTCACTTTTATATCAACATCCAGTAGATTTGCATATCCCCATTTTTTATTCATTTTGTTTCTGCTAGTGGCATAGGATGACATAAAGTTTGTCAAGGCAGAGAAACCCTATCTCCTGACCTCAGATGTCGATCATCCGACTCTAATATTTGTATCATGTATTCTCTTGCTCAAGCCTAGATCCACAAATTTGCCCCATTTTTTAAAAGGTTGCTGATATCCTACACATCCAAGCATGTGTATATATGCACACTCTCCAAATGAAACAATATTTCCCTGGCATCTGATAAATTGGAAATCTAATCTTGAATGAAAGAGTTTATTGTTTTTTAGGGCAACACCAGACTTTGGCCCTTTCTACATTGTTCTATAAAATCCAGATTATCTGCTTTGGACTGGATTATATGGCAGTGTAGACTCATATAATCTAGTTCAAAGCTGATACTGTGGATTATCTGATTTGATAATCTGGATTATACGCAGTGTAGAAGGGGCCTCAGTTATTTTTTCTTCTATGCAAAAGTAACACGGCTACAATCCATACACCACTCTGATGAGTTTTTGCTTTTGTGATGCAATGACAGCTTGTAGAATGTAGATACTGTACCGGTCCATTTATGCCACGCTGTTTATCAGTTGTCCTTGAGGCCTACAAGTGAACATTGTCTTGTTCAGCAATTTCTTAAGTCAGGGCCAGTATTTACTTATGCCTACAGATGGGCTTCGGCTATATTCTTTTGTGATCATTAAAGCAGAAATACAGGGCACATAGCACTGCAGGCACTGATGGACTTTAACTCCCAAAAGCTCTCACCAATGTAGCTAGTAGTCAGGGAGGATGGATGTTTTAATCCAACAACAATCAGAGCACAGGTTATCTTCTCCGATGATAACAATATGCTTACTTATTGGAAGAAGAACAAATCATAGCAAAATAGCGTATTTACAAACTGTTGAATTAACCGTTGAATTAAATGTCTTTACTGCTTTCCAATTTTTTCAAAAAGGAAGCAGTTTGCAGAAAACAGATACAATTAAACCAGGAACTTAAAAAAATAATACACTTAAACATGTAAAACAATAGTAAACTGACAACGTTAGTAATCAAGTAAATGCTAATGGGAACAAGCAGGAAACACCCATTATTCAGCTCTTAGGATTAATTGATACTCTCTGGTAAAGTATTAGTTCTTTCAGCGTACAGTCTCTATTGGCGTAACAGTTTTACAGATCAGCTCATTCTCAATATGCCAGTACTGAAGGAACGTAACACAGAGTTCGGGATTCTGTTGTTAATCACAGCTAAAGTAGACACATTGAATCAATGAGATTGATTTATGTGTTGATATGCCATTCAACAATAGACTTAATAGGTTTACTCTAGTTAGGACTAAGCAATAGGATTCCAGCCATTGTGTGCCGAATAACGTAAGAAGGCAACTGTGTCTCATGAACATCAGTTTTCTTCCTATTAGTTTCCCATGTCAATATGGAATCATTTAATAAATAAATAATGTAAGGGAGGGAGTTCATGGAAGAGAAGAGAAATGAATATGGACAAAATTCTAATTGCCTAACCATTTTATAGTTGGATACAAGGCTATAGATTGTATTTTAGACATTGAAAAACATGGGGAATGGGGGGAGTCAGCTCACTTGCCTTTTACCTGGAAATGTAGGAATGTGTTAGAAAAGTGTGTGTGTTTCTCCAATTCCCCATAGCGGACTTGTAAGAGCAAGTTCTTCTGCTTATCCTCTTCTTACATTCTTAATGACTATGGAGCAGTTGAGTTCTTGCCAGGTTTCCTGAGCAATAAGTATTGGTTGCCAATTTGTCGTGGTTCACTTCTTACCCTCACTTGGGTTAGTAAAAGTAGCAGAAAATAAAAGGAGTACGTGAACTGATAGCTCCTTGAATTTTCAGACCAATGACTCCAGACACGCCAGGGTGATTTATTGCTTGTCCCATGGCAGTCATTCTTCTCCTTCCCCCTTTTGCTTTAAAGTCAAGGAACTAATGCTAATTGCGGATGGAAAAAAGCAGACACTCTGAACGCCCAGTTTAGGGATTAAAGAAGGCTCAAACTGACTCTTTGTTACTGAGAGCAGGGATTGCAGAACACTGAGATTTTTTTTTTTAAAAAAAACATAAAACATAGTTGAATGATGATGACAGATCATGACCTTTTTGCTACCAAGGGCATAGCTTTTGCAGACTCAGCCAACGCAAGTCAAAAGTGTAGGTTTTTGGCTCCCATTCTGCATGTGTTTATATAGCTGCATCTTTTAAAGTATTTTTTTTAAATGTTCTTGATTCACAGCTTTAGCAGAGACTATAAATAACTGGCTGCCTCTATGAAGGCAATTTGTCTTTTGTACTTGGAGTTTAATTTGGTTATCTGTTAAATTTTATTTCCAAGTGTCATCATGGTGCATTATTTTACAGCTCCTTAAATCATCTTACCTTTTACACATCCAAGCAAAGGAATAGTTAGTTCTTATTTGCCAATCTATGGTATGCTTCATGTGCTTTGGCACCTGCAAAATAGCTTGGGTACAGGGAGCGCATTTTTCTGAAGGGTGGGGAAAGAGCAGGGTTGTTGTTTGCCTTGCACCAGCCAACACGGAGGAGATTTCACACATGCACAAGCTCACAAGTCCAAAGCTAACAACACAACAGTGTTTACCTTGAGTTCTGGCAGGAAATCATTATTCAATCTGGTTTGTTTTATCAGGCAATTCCAGGGCCACACAGATGGAGCCAGCTGTATTGACATTTCTAATGATGGTACCAAGCTCTGGACAGGAGGTCTGGACAACACTGTAAGGTCTTGGGACTTGAGAGAAGGAAGGCAGCTACAGCAGCATGACTTCACATCCCAGGTGTCTAGTATTTTCTTACCGCATCTGTGAAGGCACTGATTATTACAACACTTATATTGAGTACATTTACTAACTATGGTGTGAAGTTAAAAACCTTAATAACAGTACTACAACTCCCCTTAACATTACAACTGCTCTTTGTATTCACGTGAGATGTTGGCATGTCTTTACATTGTTTTGAGGTAATGTTTACTATGAAGCACAATCATGTTTTGTCAGTGAAGCACCCCATAGATAATTAGCACGTCATTATCTGTCCATTTTTTCTATTAAAAATTGAATATGGAAACAAACTGGCATGTTTGCCTAAACTTTGGTGTTGAAACAAAGGAGATACAATGAAACTGTGGAAGTCTGAATGTGTATCACTGCTGCATGTTACATAATTAGTATAAGAAATACATTTGTATTTATATGTATTTTTGTATAGCACAGCCATGGATACAATCTCCACAGTTTCACTTACCTATGCTGAAAAATATAGTACCACACAAATATAATCAAATTATAGAGTTTGCTATTAATCCATGGTTTAGATAACCATAAAGGGTCTTAGGTGTCAGATGTCCCACAGATATGTGTGTGGGGTGGGGCGTACTGTACTTACATTTGTACAGATGCAAATGTCCAAGCATTACCTTTTTGCTTCAATTGATTCTATGGTTTAAAAGGGTTCCTAGATAGATGGATGGATGGATGGATGGATGGATGGATGGATGGATGGATGGATGGATAGATAGATAGATAGATAGATAGATAGATAGATAGATAGATAGATAGATAGATAGATATCTGTTTCCTTTATGTAATCCTCTTCTCACTGTCTTTTTTTTTAAAGATATTTTCCCTTGGCTATTGTCCTACTGGTGAATGGCTGGCCGTGGGAATGGAAAGCAGTAATGTGGAAGTGCTGCATGTAAATAAACCTGACAAATATCAGCTTCATCTGCATGAGAGCTGTGTGCTGTCACTCAAGTTTGCTTATTGTGGTAAGTTGGAAGAGAATGGATATAAGCTATCCATGTTTCCTATTCCGATCTGAGCTGAATATCTTACAGCAAGGACACAATTATTTCTATTCAATTTTGCTTTAACAAATGAAAAATGAAAGGTAACACCTTTCTCCCAGAATAGGTGTGAGGGTTAGCTCATGTTTGCAGACAGACAACACTTCCTTCATGCACTTAGGCTGTGAGGCCGCAGCCATAGCATCAAGTATTTCAAATAGTGCCCATTGCTCACTAAGTTAAGTATGCTTTTTTTAGTTCAGACTAAATTCTAAATGTTCTAAAGGTACTAAATCCTGTCCGACATTGGAAGCTAAGTAGGGTTGCCCCGGGTTAGTACTTGTATGGGAGACCACCAGCAAATACCAGGTGCTGTATTTCAGAGAAAGGAACTGGCAAAATCACCTTTGAGTCTTCCCTTGCCTAAGAAAACCCTATGGAATTCATGGGGCTACCACAAGTTGACAGGTGACTTGAAGGCACATAAGCACAATCACTTTGTACAATTCATTTCACAATGGTGGATTTGTCATCAAAAGACCCTGGGGACACCCTGGGGCTGATTACCAACACAGTGTGCCGGTTAACCATGTAGAAACACTTGTCAGAATGAGGGGTTGTCAAATGATGTAGGCAATTATATCAGTTTTGTATAGTGATAGTTGACAGTCTTTCACACCCTCTGTTCCCTAGTCCTCTATCTTTCTCTTCAACTCCCAGCAATTATGCAACATATTGATGAAATCTGAAAAGTAGTTTAGCCATATGAAAAAAGAAATGCTCCGTTAAGATACTACACAGTTTGATAAAATATATTATTTTACATGTTGATGTGGGATTTTTAACAGTGTTCTTGCTGTTGGTTTTATTTCAGGTAAATGGTTTGTAAGTACTGGAAAAGATAACCTTCTAAATGCCTGGCGGACTCCATATGGTGCCAGTATATTCCAGGTGAGACAGTTTATTCATAAAGAGGATTTTGAGATTGATGCTCTTGGAGAGATAGGCAATAAAAAAGGCCCCATAGCTATTCATATTCATATTTGTATTCCATACTTGTTACTCAGAGAAACGAGGATGAGATTATCGCATTCTATTCTCAGAAGGTTTTGTGCCAAATTGGGCCTATTACTTCTTAACCCAAATCAATTTTGTGAGAAAGAATAAACAAGTGTTCTTTCTCTCTTGCACACACACAAACATGTAACATATTTGTTTTTTCCCCCTCTCTTCTAGTCCAAAGAGTCATCTTCTGTGCTCAGCTGTGATATCTCCGTTGATGATAAATACATCGTTACTGGCTCTGGAGACAAGAAAGCAACTGTTTATGAAGTTATCTACTGAGAAGTTGCGTTGGAAAAAGCTGAACTGGGCCAAAACGTTCTTAAATCGTAGATGTAGAAAGACATTACCTTTTTCTAATTAAAAAAGGGAAGAACTTGGTTTTCTGACATCTTCACACAACGTTATTCAAGTTCTATGAAAACAGAAGGCAACTTTTGGCATCCAGCGACAATGTGAAAGAAGAAGGCAAATGTTGATTAATGTAGCATAGTTTTGATGGATTTTTTTTTAAAAAAAAGAAGCCTCTGCTGAAGATGGTGGCGGCCTTTAGGGTTTTGTTTTCCTTTTTATGAACTCATAAAAAAAATCATGCTCATTGCTTGAATAAGTGGGATTATGTTCCAGCACTTGCAGTTCCACCCACATTCTGTCATGTGTAGAACAGTGGTATCTTGGATAAACTTGTCTCCTGGTTTTGCCTCTCGGGATATGGGTTTTTGTATTATTTTGTTGAAGATCAAGCATTTGTATAAATTGTAAATATATTTGGTTTATTACAGTAAAGGCTTTAGTATCAGCTAACTGTCTCTTTCTTTTCCCCCAGTGCCCCTTAAATTGTGTTTCAGAAACCCTTTTGTAATCAAAATCTTTTGATAAGCCAAAATAGAACTGTGAAGTGGTGGCTAAGGTTTTATCCATTTGTACAATTATAAAGCCTACATTGTATAGTTAATTTGCTGTGAATGTTTTGAATTCGGGAATCACCTTTGTGAATTTTTATACATTTAGGGAAAAAATCAAAAATGTGAATTTTGAAGTATAGTTTACATAGAATTGACTGTAAATGAATTGTGGGCCAAGAGTTTCTGGAAGGACATTGGTAACATGCTATTGTGAGCTGTTAATGCTTTTTTATACAGGTGATATATGTGAATTGTGAGAATGAGTACAAATCCTTTATGCTCTTAACGTTTTTTTAAAAAGATGTGTGCCACTTTTCTGCTAAGTGACAAGCTTAGTAAAGGTAAAGGTTTCCCCTTGACGTTAAGTCTAGTTGACTCTGGAGGGTGTTGCTCATCTCCATATCCAAGCTGAGGAGCCAGCATTGTCAGTAGATGTCTCCAAGGTCATGTGGCCAGCATGACTACATGGAGCACCGTTGCCTTCCTGCCAGAGTGGTACCTATTGATCTACTCATATTTGCATGTTTTCTAACTGCTAGGTTGGCAGAAGCTGGGGGTAACAGTGGGAGCTCACCCTGCTCCCTGGATTCAAATCATGAGCTTTTGGGCAGCAAGTTCAGCAGCTCAGCGGTTTAATCTGTTGCACCACTGCGGTCCCCTTATCTGCAGTAAATCAGAAGAAGGTCAACTGGAAGCCAAAGTGACACACATCTGAGAACAACATTGGTTCAACTGCAGACAGAGTTTTTCCTTTTAGTAAAAAATGTTCTTTTGTGCCTGAGGAGACATTAGTTTTCTTTCCAATTTATATGTTAACTCTACTGAATCCATTTTATAGCAGTTTGTGATGGTAATAGCCCTAATATATATACATTTGGAATGTAAAATATTAACTATTCTTAATGGAATAGTTTAATAACCTTTAAAATTAGTACTGTTATTTGTCTATATATACTTAGCGGGCATGTCTCAGATGTACTTTTTTGTGAATATAGACAAATGAACATGAGGTTGGTGTGGCAGCAGGTTCAGAATTTGGAGAAGTTACGTTTCTGTGTTGCAGTCCCATATACACGTACCTGGGAACCAGGTCTACTGAATTCGACAGATACCCTTATGGATTTCATCTCCTGGAATGCTAGCATGTGCTCTCTGGCTGTGCTTGCACAGGTATTCTGGGAATTCTAGTCCAAAAAGTAATTTCTCAGGCTGTAATTCAACTCAATATTCTGCTTTTGGACCTTTCACAAGAATTGCATCAAAATCTGCAAGTACCTGAAAATTCTGGACCTACAGGGACATTTTATTTATTTATTTTAATTATGTCCTCCCTATTTTAGAACTTGAGGAATCCTAATCATGTTTACAGTTGTTTACAGTACTTTAATGTGATTTAAAAGCTCAGAAAGGCATTTGTTTTGTAAAAGTGATGGCATTGCCTTTGTAGATAAATGAAAGTAAATTTATGCATTTTTGTTCAGTCATCCTCCCAGGGATCAAGAATTGAAAGAACTACTGGAAAGTGTCCTCAGCTGCATCTACTTTAGTAAACGTGTGGGATTTAAGATATGTGCCACATGAGATGTTTCTGTGCAATTACCCTTAACATTGGAGTCCTGAATGATCAATGATATGTTAAGACTTAAATTTCACCAGCGCTTCATTTTGGTGGACTGAGCCCCCCAAAAGAGACCGTTGCCAAACTTAGCATAGTATGCGTACATGTTATCTGACCCTCCTGAAGGAGATTTACAGCAACCAGTAATAGTTGGCTCTAGGAGGCCAATCCTTCTCTATAATTTTCAATTTAAGTTTCAAACTTTCCTCATTTTTCTGACAGTCTAAAGGCTGCTGGTAGTACAGTATTTTGCATTGAGTGCAGATACACACTGTTTTTACCATGTCTCCAAGAGCAATTTAATTCAGCTTTTGGTCTTAACCTGTAAAGCCCTATATGATCTGGGGGGAGAACATATGAAAGTCTTCCTGCCTATAAACCTTCCTGGCAGTAAGACCTGCTTTGCACAGTCCCAGGTGTCTGGTGTACTGCAGGTTGGCACAAGAAAGAGGGCTGAGGAAGAAGGAATAGAGTTTAGTGATGCCCAGAATTTGGAGCCATCTCTAATAAAAGGTCTGCCTGGTTCTATTGTTTATCTTTGGAAAACAGGTATAGAGTAATAGAGTTTGAAAAAATGTAAGGGCCATCTATTCCAAACTTATGTCATGCAGGGGTACCTAAACATAGCACCTTTGAAAAATGCCAACACAACCTCTTTGCAAAGACCTCCAAAGAAGGAAGGTCCACCACTCTCCAAGGCAATCTTGTCTACTGTTGAACAAGACAGACCAATATGGACTGTCAGGGTTTTTTTTTTTACAGGGTTATGGGTGTAACTTCCATATGTTTTGTTTCTGACTTTTGGCAGCTGCCTTTATTAGTTATTTTTTTAAAGACAGTTTCAGAATATTGGGAATAGAATAACAGTCATGGTCAGAATGTATTGTCGAATGCTTTCATGGCTGGAATCACTGGATTGTTATAGGTTTTTTGGGCTGTATGGCTGTGTTCTAGAAGCATTCTCTCCTGACATTTCGCCTGCATCTATGGCAGGCATCCTCAGAGGTTGTGAGATCTCATAACCTCTGGCAAAACAGGAGTCAAAACGTCAGGAGAGAATGCTTCTAGAACATGGCCATACAGCTCGAAAAACATACAACAACCCAGTCATGGTCAGAGCTATACGGACTGTCAATTTCCAACCTGGTGGCGTCATCTGTGATATCATCAGCCACATAATAGAAAAATTAGGCTCGTTGTTTCCTCCCATCATCATAGAATGATTTTTACACATGTATGGTTCCTTACCTAGAAATGGAGTCCATATGTACAACCTTGGCTTAGGGTTATGTTGAAGTAGCATTTGCACAGATCTTGTTCCTTGGTATGTACAATATCAACTATATCTGATGAATACACGGTCTGCTTGCAAAAGGACATGGTCTTTGGTACATATGTGTAAAATCAGAGCTTATGAAAGGTTTGGTCTATTTCTTCCAGATTCCCTAGCTGCTTGTGCTGGCTTGGGATTTTGAAATCTGAGTCCCCGTTCTAGGAAAAAGATGGGATATAAATGGATCATAACAATTGTCCAAAAAACAATTTGACCAAGTTCTGGATACAATCATTGTCTCAACATTTTTGGCAGGAACAAACTCCAAAAAAATAACACCCTTTAACTACCATATGACTGCTAATTTGAGCTTTAAACATACTTTTGGGGGTTATTTCATGCAAGAAAGATTACTTATAAAGAACTTGTTCCTGTATAGGAAAATAACATGAGAACAAAGCAACTTTGCTGTTTGTGAACTTTATAGCATATGAAGCATTCCTCATGGCAGGGGTTAGGTCTATGTGGTTCTCCAGATGTTCTTGATTCAATATCTATCAGCCCTTATCAGCATGAGGGATGATGGAAGTTACAACCCAATAACATCTGGAAGGCCATGGGTTCCTTATTCCTACCCTACAGACATGTAGGCCGATGATGGGAGCTTTGCGACTGGAAGTAATAAGCCTTTGTACTCCAAGGATTATGCTTAATGACAAGAAAAAAAATAGCAAGCAGGCTGAGAAGGTCACAGTGGGAAGTTAACCCATAACATGGAAAACTACAAAATCGCTTGTTACATCCCAGGGAGTGGGCTTAATTTGTTTAAAATCAAATCCATCTGTTCATTTCACACGCTTTGTTCCACTTCCTTGCAGCAATCCACAGTGGAGTACTCCTTTACTTTAAAAATTGGCTGCAATTATGATAAGCTAATAACTCTTATTTTGTGGTTAACTGCATCAAGAAATTTTGGATCACTTCCAAGCTTCCCTTTAATTTTTCTGAATTATCCAAATCATCTCTTGGACCAAGTATGCACGGCAAAACTAGGTTTAAAATTAATGCACTCTTTTAATATTTATAAATTCTATATTAATCCTGTCACTCAATTACTTGCTTCTAATGAATCAGCCATGTATTTTCATTTAAAATGACAGTACCCTTAACCATGGACTTGTATTTGCAAATGTATTGCATGTATTATTGAAGGAATTGCACATTAAGATTTTACTTGTCCATTTGAAATGCATATTTCTCTTCAAAGCCACTTGCTTCTATCCAGGTTAGCAGCTAGCTACCAGTGCACTGGCAGAGGGTGTGATCAGAATAAGTTAAATCAGGGTCACTCTAAGTGTATTAACCTGTCATTTTCCCTTACTCAAAAGTAAGTACTTGAACCAGCCTTGGCAGAGGGGGGCACTCACCTGATTCAAAAGTGTGAGTGTACCATCAGCTTCCGTATCCATGGATTTAGCAATTCATAGCTTGAAAATACCTATTTTTTCCACTTCACTACAGAATTATATACAATGGTGTTTGGACATCCATGAATTTTGATATCCATTAGGCCTGGGTAACAACGGAAAAATTTGTTTCTAAACTCGTTTTGTTTTTAGGGGTCCATTGCGTTTCGTTTTTTAAATGAATTCCAAAATTTTCTTTAAAATTTTTTCGTTATTTACGAAATTTCGTAAATTTCGTAATTGATTCGTTAATGGCAGATGCGATTGTGCAATACGCAAAAAAACCTCCAAATGGGACAGGGGGAACTTCTGAAGCTTCCCTCTCCCTCTGTTGTTGGCTGTTGGTGTGATAATTTATTTTTTTATCACTGATAAAACAAACAACAACTATAAAACTTGCACCAGACATACGGAAATAATAACGAAATGATTTCAAAACGATTACGAATCAATAACGAATCAATAACGAATCAATTACGAAATTGATCAAAAAAATTCATTTCGTTATTTGGATGCTCCAGAATGGTTCATTATCGG